TTGGTAAGTCAGGCAAAGTGAAGAAAGCTCTACAGAACCAGCAGTGTTGCCTTTTCTGATTGTTTCTCAACTGTTTGCTATTCATTTATTTCTCCCTCCTGTGTTTATGACTGGACCTGGATAAGAACAAGCATAGTTCAGCTACAATTGTATCTTTCTGAAGGCTTAATGACACATTCGCAGTCTTTTTAAAGGCGGAGGCACTGATTTTTTTTTTCTTTTTCTTTTTTTTTTTCTTTTTTTCTGCGACGGTACTGAGTTTGTTTGGCTCCTTTTTGAATGGGCCCACTCTACAAGCTTTTAACAACCGTAGAGTGATTGTTGTATCCTGTCAGCCTGTTTCCCTCCATCTCTCCAACCTGAATCTGTCCAAGCAATACCAAGTCCAACAGATGTGCCTATCATAATGCCAACTGGTTGGAAAAAACTGTGTCTAGTCGGTGCAGAGTTTTGGCTATGGCTATGTCGACCCACGTGGCCATTTGATTGAAAGCTTGAAACCTGTCTGCACCTGCCTTTGTCTGCTCAATGTGGCATGATTAATGGGTGGATGATGCACTTAACTGCTTGCGTTCGAAGCAGTTGGGACCTGTTTGATCAGAGTGAAAATTATTTATCACAGTAAACTTCATCTAGGTCTTATTCCTTTGGGGGGGACCTGAGAGAAGCAAACGTGAGGTCTGCATTTAAGTCTGTCTTTCTCTTAGATGAATTTATTAGAGCATTTTACAACTACTATTGGTGATCATTTTGTCCTTTTTATGTCAATCTCTGTGCTTGTGTGTTATTTAGTGCTCTAGGGTGGGTTAATAAGCCGTGGTTTAGCAGCTGCTAACGTCGTGGTCACACTCCTGACGATTATTCGTTTGATTAATTTTCATACTTCATAACCACACATAGGAAAAATCCGTCTTTTCGACATCGTCTCTTAGCCGTACAACCGAGATATAATTTTGTCAACTGTAGATTGCGGTTGTCTACATGTAACTGATGGTGGATATAAATACGCAAAAACAGTAGCAAAACTTTTTAACACGGCGTGCATGGCATTTTTGTACAATATCACTTTCAAAGAGAGAAAACCAGAGGATTTATCTGAGCTAAGGTACCTGAGATTATGGATAAGATGTTTAATATTAAAATGACGTTTAATGATTTATTGAACATGGAAGAGGACCCAGTGAAGTGCGTCAGCCTTACTGGGCCTTGCTCAGCTTTCACTTGTAGGACGGACATTTGCGGATTACTGTCGCTGATGTTGATATTCTTGCTTTTACTTCGATTTTTTTTTTCCTCTCCCTTTTCTTCCTTGAACACTGTCGTATGGTTTTTACTGCCCAGCCAAATTTTTGTTTGGGGGGGGAGGGTTGTTTTGAGGTTGTTGTTTGGTTACCAGCTTCCTTTGTTACAAATTCAACCAAGGAAGCCGATGTGGAGCTGTCCCCTTTTTGCCAAGTTTATTTCTGTGGATGCAAGACAATCGCAGACCAAATCTTAGTGCTGGTTTGTTGACTGAACCCACTGTTTTGCTTTGAAGGATGTAAGCTCTCACCAACCTACCCCTCATTGGCCCGAGGTGCTAGACTTTGTCCATCTCACTGCAGAAGCTTCTGTGAATTGTTTGATGTGCATCAATCTATTTGTCAGAGTCTCGTAACATGACATTTTTAGAATGTTTGTGACTACATGATTTCGGTAGGCAAGAGTAATTGTTTGGCAGTGTCTTAATGTAATTGAGATCAACCACGGGATACCTTTTGAATGTCTTGGTAAGGAGATGTTTCAGTGCTGTTTGGAAACCTGATGTGTATTTTTTTTTTTTTTTATATAACACGTGTTTCTTTGGTGAGCTTGGTTTTCTTGCATGTTGTACAGAAGAATAATGGAAAGACCTCTGGACCTGAGACATCTCCGAGAAAAATCATTGTTTCTGGAGCTAACAGTCTGTATAATCTTTTTTTTTTTTTTTTTTTTTTTTGGACGTTACACTAAATTATGCCGCGTATCATTGACATGATTTGTCTGAATAATGAAGCACTTGCCACGCATTTTCTAATCAGTTTCAATAATTTGTGCTTACTCTGTATACCTTTGTATTTTAAAGAAAGCACATGTAATAGTTTTTCATCTTTTTTTTTCTGACAAACAGCTAAATCAGAGTTTGAGATATAGAAGACGAATCGACTTGATCCACTCCAGACACTAAAGACATTAAACTTCTTTTTGTTACACTTTTTCTCACACAAACTTTGTCAGCTGTCTCATTCTTCTTTTTTTACCAGCTAGACACTATCGACTGATCTGTGCTACATTAATTTTTTCTCCTGTTTGCCTTCTATTTCCACACACTTTATTCAAGCATAACACTTTTTACATCTGAGCTGTTTTGCGTTCATATTTTCTAATTGTATTTTCAGAAAAACAAGGAAAAAAAGCAAAAACAAAACATCAACCTTTTTTTCCTCATGACCTGGGTACAGTGCTTGTGTAGTCTATTGTACCTTTTTGGGAAACAATACTGTATATCTTTGCCTTTGACAGTCTTAACTATCTTACCCTCTGGAGAACTTGAGAGATACCCTTAGAACACAATGAGTATGTTTAAAAAAATATAAACAAAGTAATATTTTGCAAAATGTATCATTCCAATAAAGTTTTACTTGTTAAGACTAAAATGTGTGGCTTGTAGAAATCTTTCTCTTTATGGAGTGTGTAAATTTATAAATGGATGGTACCGATTTCACTTTTCCCACAAATCTTAAGTCCTTTGGTGAGCTACACTTACAGTTGTGTTCAAAATGATGCAAGTTCAACCAGTATTGGTTCATGCATGAATCGCTCAAGGGAGTAATGCACATAATCTAGCTTCCTTATTCTCAGCAGCAAGCAGGGTATCTCTACTTCTCTGCACATGCATAAAAGCAGTAGGAAACTTGCTAAGTCCACAACTAACATAAATCAGATTTTATTTTCTGACTGTTGCCCCTTTATAATACCACCCTGGGCAACTGCCAATATGCTCATATCCACAACTTTCTTTAAGCCCAACATCACCATCACTGGTTTTTAGAAGGAATTATATTCTGACGTGGCCAAGAAATCTATCTGTAGGTGTAGAATCATTAACTGAACATGGCATGTCCCAAATAATACACTGGGATTCGACCTGTGGAGGCATTCATTCTGTATAAAATGCATTTTATTTAAGGACGAGAGCAGCAAATGTAGAGAATTGTGACATTCTCTATTTCACCAAACATTATTTGGTGAAATAGTTGACTGCAGATGGGAAAACACAAAGAATTATAGAAAATTTCAGGCTGCCTGACTAAAAAGCTTCCCAATGCTTTAAAATGGAAAATTAAACTATGAAGAAAATAGAAGTCTACTAATCAAGCAAATCAACGTGTTGCCAACAAGGATTCAACCAATGGTATGCTCCAGAATGACCAAAAATGGTCTCTAGTTACCGGTAAGTATTGCAACAATTAGAAGTTGCCTAAGTGATGCCAACCTATCAGCAAGAAGACTTGCAAAAAAAAAAAAAAAAAGACATTGGCTGGATGGGCAGTGCATGACAAACATATTGCAACATGTTATTGTCAGATGAAAGCAAGATTGTGTTTTAAGTTTAGACACTGAATCTTAATCCACAGGACAATTAAACATGATGGCTGAAGAATCATAATGATATGTATCAGTGTGAGTTCATAAAAATACTTAAGACTTAAGACACTTGTCCTTTTGTGAGGCTATATTGTGATTAAAGCTTTAGAATTCTCTACTAGTGGAATATTTGTTGTTCCACTTTTATATTTAAAATTTTTAAAACATAATTTGGAGCAACTAAGCTAAGCAAGTTGTTTGGATAAATGGATTACTAGGAGTGGATCAATGTCCTGTACCACAGAAAGAGGAGTCAGAAAAAGTAAAGAGAAATACAGTGGACAAAGTGCTGAACTGAGCCCATGACTCTTTGAAGCATTGTGAGTCACTGGTTATCTGAAACATTCAACTTTGACAAAACTAAAAAATCTGTAACGGGGTGGGGAGGAATTCCTTTTACAGCATAATATTTTCATATGTTAAGCTATGAAGTAGTGGTTTGGTAAGTTTGAACCATTTGCTAAAGGTAATAAAGATGTAAATGAAAAACAGGAAAGAATAGAAACATATTTATTTATTTATATGCACCAAATATGACCAAGGGGAACTGAATGTGAATATAGATATAAAACTAAGGCAGCTACCAAATACTGCCTTTGTGAAAGCTGTAGATCACATCCTCTAAAAGACAGTAATATATAGGCAATTATATCATTGTGTTCTTATCTGGAGCCTGATTGGATTTTCTGATTGTGTTTATAGAGCTGCTCTAAGAAAAATGGGAACTAAACTTCTGCTTAGGACTTCTAGGCTAGCACAGGTTTAGAAAGAAAAACATATACAACTCAAAAAATTAAAAGTCTTTACATAAATTTTTTTAGAGAGTTTAACATGAAATATAATTAGCATTTAAAGGACCTGAAATGTAGAACTGCTAGTAGTACTCATATAGCTTGGTAGGTATGTTAGCAGCCATAATCTGAGGTGTTTAATCATTTCTACTGATTGTTCTATGCAGGATTCAAGTTTCATGAACAAAGTAAATATAAACTAATCAAAAACCAGAGCAACTGATACATATTTCTCCACTATTTTCCCCATAAATTTAGTTGGACTCTTAGTAGACTTACTTATACATATATATTTTCTCTCTTGATTGTTTAAGTTTGCCCAAACAATGCAGTTTCTTTAGTGACCACCTCTCCTTTAAGTAAAGTTGTACACAAAATGTCTCTTAATGCACTCACAAAAGGGCCGAGAGAAACCTGGCGCGGGCGCTCGCTCCCGTCCAGGACAGCAAATTCCACCTTAAAAGCGGCCTCTGGAGTGAAACTTTTCGCTCCAACTCAGTCAGTCCACCTTAAGCGCACACGCAAACGCAGGAGGCGTAGAGCGAGGTTTCCGCTTCTCAGTGGGGCTCGGACCGCGACTCACGAAAAATCGCCGTGTGTGCCGTTCAAGCTTGACGCACTTAGGTAGAAGGGGAGAAAAAAAGCGAGGAAAAAAAAGATGTCCGAATCCAAGTACCGCGAGTGGATTTTGGATACTATCGACTCGCTGCGGTCTCGAAAAGCCCGGCCGGACTTGGAGAGGATTTGCCGAATGGTCCGGAGGCGACACGGGTCCGAGCCAGACCGAACCTGCGCGGAACTGGAGAAACTGATCCAGGAGCAAACCGTGCTCAAAGTTAACTACAAGGGCTCCATCTCCTACCGGAACGCCGCCAAGGTTCAGCGGCGGAGCAGAAAGAAAGACGATGTTTCGTTAGCCACGGCTGCGAGACGGAGCGCGATGGAAGAAGCCAGTCATTCCGACCTGAGCAATGGGGATAGCGCTTTCGGTGCCGTGGACCAGGACGAGGAGGATTTGGAGGTAATGCAGACCCGATGCAGGGGGGAAGCCACGGTTAACGTGGTTTACATGTCATTGTCATGTCACATCACACAAAACGTACAGGTGGAAGTTAAAACAGACATTGTGCAGTTGGGGGGGTGAAAAAAATGGTGGAAAAGCTCCTCTTTTTGTTAGTAGAAGGGGAGTGGTGAGGGGAGTGATTTGCAAGTGCACCCAAAAAGTGCCGCAGACGGGGAGCGGCGGTTGGAGCTCGCTCGAGCGCTGCCGAGGTGGAGAAGAAAAGAAGGTGCGCGTGTAGCTTGTGCGAGCGTGCTACATTTCATGCTGCGCCGGTTGCTAAAGAAGCACGTTAGAACAACTGCGCAGACGGTTTAAAAACGGACAACAATCATAAAGTTCTCCCGTTTGGTCCGCCCGCAACAATCCCAGCCTCCATTTACAGCAGGCGGGGAGGGGGAGAGGGGGGGCAAAAGCGCTTTTCAAGCCACAAACTCGGCGTTGAGCGAAAGGGGGAGAAACGGGTTACAGTTAGACCGGAAGTAGACTGATGCAGCCTTCAAAATAATGGCTTTCAAATAGACTCTAACTAAATAGACTTTTATTTTTGAATTATTTGGGCTGGAAATGCTTGTTATTGACTCACGCTTATCATATGGGAGTGGGTAAAGGTGGGGGAAAAAGTGTCGAACACCGCGGATGTAGGAGCCTGATCGGGGACGACGGGACGTTTGATCGTTGATTTTTTTTTTTTAATGTCTGGAAACGAGTTGAAACACTACCGATGGTGGATTGCACCATGTGGCCAAACATATTTTCGCGGTCGGTCGCCAGGGCTTGTGTTTATAAAACGATGATTAAATCCATAACTATGTGCAACAAAGTGACCAACAGAATATACGCAATGATAAATCATTATTTTGTAATTTGGTTGTATTTCTATTTCCCGTAATGGGATGGGGAATTTCTACACGGTGCATAAAGTCGAACCCCTAGATCCATTTTCGGACAGCCTCCCAAACCCGGTCACGTCCAAGACGTGCGTTGACTGTCGTTGTGGTTCCTTCCGTCCTGTGCACAATATGTTGTTTTTTTCCCCCTCTTGTTCTAAAAATCTCTGACAACTACTTGCAGTATGACGTTTGAGTCAAATCAAAGCAAAGTCGCTTGACGCGCAGGAACCGGCGGCTGTAAACTAAAAGCGATCGCAAACTGTTTTCCTGGCGCTAGATGGCGGATGCGCCCATCCGATTTGGGTTAAGCCGAGATCAAAATTGACTTTGTTCTCTGAAAGACGTGTGTGTCGTTTAAACAAAAAAAACAAAAACAACAACAAAAAAAAAACCCGAATGCGGCTGGTCACTGCGACCAGAAGGCTGCTGTTTGATAATCTTGCAATGCGGGGCTTGCGGATGTAGGTGCCTGGGTGTCCGATAACGGATTCATTTCTTTGCGCTGGCTCGTTTTTACACTAAACTGTTGACCCGCTGCAAAGTCAAAGTGGGCTGGCGATCGAGTCGTCTGCTGACGCTGATCGGAGAGCTTCGTTGAAAACCTCGCGTTTATTTCTATTGTGCGGATGTTTTGAGCCGCGACTGGGGAAAAGCCCTCAGACACAATGGCGAGGTATTTGCCTCGGCTTCCAACTCCATGCGCACTTTGGAGGAAATTTGAGAGAGGATAAAACGCCTTCCGTCGGCCCTTTTCGTGCTCCCCGTGTGTTATTAATTTTACCGCTCAACAAGGCCTCTAAAACAAGGAGAGGGTGGGCACGCCGAGCGAAGCGGCTGGTGCGAAACATCCCAGTTCAGATCCCGAAATCGCGATGCTTTTGACGGCGCTTTTGAGTGAAAGTTGTGCAAAATGCGATCCTGTGGGGTGAATTCCACAGAAGCGGCTCTTTCCACAGGAGCGGGGCGGGCTTTAATGCGCTCTTGTGCACGACTGCTGGGTATAGGACACGCAGTCGCACACAAGGTAATTTTTTTTCCTCCCAGGGCGCCATCGAGGAAAATAAAAGAAAGAAAAAGGGAAAAAAATCTTCTCTTTGCCCGAGTACAAGTGATGAGCACAGATGGTAAAACTAGTTATCGTCCACCAGACCGCGTTGTAATCACGTTTTCACGGACGGTAACCCGTTTGCAATGGCAGGACGCGCAGACTAGAGGCACTCAGAGGCAATCATTTACCAAATTGCAACGTCAGTATGAGCATGTTGCTTTTATTTTTATGATGTGACACCAACATACAGTCAGTCCCGCTCAAACGTCTTTTCACTTTTTAAAGTGTTTAAGTTTCAAAAAGGTTTGAATGGTGAAGAATAATTGTTTCTAAATAAATGAAATTTGGAAATCTTACATGATTGTGTGTGGCAGGGTGACACCTCTATGGCTATGGACACAGACAGCAATCCTGACGAGGAGGGGGCAGAGGAGAGCCGTGATGGGCAGGACCGACCTTCTCCCAGCCCCCATCGTGAAGGAGCCTCGGTGCAGTGTGCCCCCGTACGGGCCGCCTCTGCTCCCTGCTCCCCCTCCGGCTCCCGGCCTGGCTCTGGCCCCAACTGCAGCGCTGGCTCTGCTCTGGACTGTGCCGCGTCCCAGAAGCCAGGCGAGAGGCCCAACTCCTTGCCCCCCTCCAGCCCCGCGGTCCTAACACACAATGAATGGGCTTATGATTCAGCTGTCAGCCCAGTGGAGCGCCAGCACCCAGGAATGCAGAAGGACAAAGGTATCCACACTGCGAGACTCGGGATGGATGTGGGCTGCCGGTGTTTTTATTGTTTTTTTTTATTGTTTTTTTTTTGGGCACTCTAATATTGTTTCATCTGTGGCCTTACACTAAGCTTTGCAGTGGATTCCAAGCTGTGATGGGAGCTTTCAAGCAGCTATGATTAATTATTGGATATTTACAGCAGAAATGCAGTAAAGCCAGATGCAGAGCTGTGGGAGGAACTGATGCATTTGTGAGATGTTTACACAGGTTAAGTTCTCTCACCAGTTATTTAGGATTCATTTAATCCGCTCTCTTGGCAGCACTGCTCTATGCTACAGGTAATCTTTAGGGTAAAGTTGGTCCTTGTAGGATAGTGATGGATGGGTGAACAGCTGCTTTCTAACCCTGTGTTTGCAGTAGAGCTGAAGCCAGCGGACCACTCTGGAACGACGATCCCCAGCGCTCTAACCAACGGAAAGAAAGAATCAGAAAGCAGGGAGGACAGCAGCAGCCTCTCATCTGACCAGTTGGTACCCGACTCTGCGGCACGCCCGGTAACCGGCCTGCCATCTGCTTATTGTGTCAGATAGCGTCTGCATTCTTCCAGCTGGGGTTTTACTTGATGTTTTCATTTTGAATTCATTCATTTTGGCTAACAGGATGAAGTCAGGAATGTCTCTGATGGAAGATTACAAACGGTGTCTCCACCCCCTGAAAACGGTGAGTGTTAGTTTTTTTTTTTGTTTTTGTTTTTTTTTCTTTTTTAATTAAAACATTTTTGTCTCTGTACTGCTCACTAACTTGGAAAGTGATTTCATAATAAAATGTCAATTTTGATAAAAGTCTGCGTTTAAAATCTATCTCTGGTTGTCATTTGGTTTTTGTTTGCCTGAAGGCTTGCTCAAGATTTTTTGAGTTCTTTGCAAGCTTGTCCTGCTACTTTCCATCCAGATGGTCTTTGTTTAGACCAAGTTATTTTTCTCTTCTTTGCTACTGACATGCTGCACGTTTCCTAACAGTTTACGGTTTTTGGTAAAGGACATTGTTTTATCATTTAAAACCCGTGAAGTGAGTTTTCTTACTAGTTTTTATGGGGACATTTGTGGACAAATGACATATTAGAAATGGACAGCACCCAGTCATTTCTACCACCACAGACACCACGGCTCTATATGTTAACGCTTCTGTTGTTTGCCCAGTAGGAGCGTCCCGCTGAAAGATGCTTATGGATCCCTGTCATGTGTTTCATGCATGCCAAGCAGCATGAAGCCCATCATCGGTGTTGTTCAAATAGACAGGCCCAGTTAGGAGATGCATCATTCACCAAGCCCTCTCTGTACTGAACCGTGAACCATCTCTAATAGAAAAACACATCATACCATGACAGCAGAGGCTTCTGTACAGAAAACTAGATGCATGGGGAAAAAAAAAAAAAAACAAAAAAAAAAAACAGAAAGACATCTTTTCTAGTTAACGTTTCATCTCACAAATGAATACCATTACATATTGTAGAATAGATTTGTTTTCCTGGAAAATATTCATATCAAACAGAACTGATTTGTCTTCAGATGACCAAACTGGCACATATATAAGTAAAAAGAATAGCGAACAAGTTACAGTTTCATAGAATAATGAAGCTTGTTTTTGTTTACAGGTACGCTCCAGAAGCTCGAGGCGCCCTACACAGCGGCTGACGGCGGTCTCATCAATGGTGGAACAGGTGATGAAGTGTGAGTATCCTGCTGCTACTCTAAATCTATAGATACATTATTCAGTCACTCATGATAAGCTAACTTCCTACAAAATCTTTAATGTTAGTACTTTCCACCTTTTAACAAGTAGGAAATATAAATTCCAGAATGTACAAAGACTTTTGTGTTGCAGTATCATATCTTCTGGCATTTCACAGACAAACTTACATTTCCAAAAATAAGTTTCTCAAACACTGAACAGGTTTCAGCTATACCAAAGGTATTCATTCTTCCTTGAGGTTTTTTTCCACATTGTCACAACCAAAACATCAACGGGTTTTTATGACGGACCAACAAACAGGAAAGCGTAGCTGTTAATTGGAAGAGAAATTATTTATGTCTAACGTTTTTCACCAGTATAAACCATAAGCGTGGCATGTATTCTTATGCGGCGCCCCGAGTGGATGCTTTGTAAAACTTCCTTTCCCTGCAATTACAGCTGCAAGTCTTCTAGGGTGTGTCTACCAGATTTGCACATCTAGAGAGAGAAAATTTGTCTTTCTCTTGTTTGCGAAATAGCCTGCAGCTCAATCAGATTAGATAGAAAGAAAATATCTTCTTCTTCTCTCCCTCCCATCCCCCCAAGTCTTGCCGCCGATTCTCTGTTAGATTTATGTATGGACTTTGACTGAGCCATTCCAGCACATGACTATGATTTCACCTCAATGTGTCAATCACTGTTGTGGGCATATGTTTTTT